CACCTCAACAGTACCACCAGCAACAGCAGCCGACAGTGCCTTGGTACTACAGGGAAACGTCGACGCCGATGCGACCCCCACTCCGCTAAACCGACATATGGCGTACCCCTGACTACAGGCCCCTGTGCTTCCATTGTGGGGAAGCAGGCCACATCGTGCGGTATTGTCCTCATCGCGTTGCCGGGTATCAAGGATTTCCGTCCACTAACCCTCGGCGCTATTTCGATGGAAGACGCAACGTTGAAACGAGCGCGACGATCCCGCGAGACGTTTCTCCTGGGTTCCGGTCACGCTCGCCCTCCCCAGGTCATTTTCCCCGATCTAATAGAGGTAGCACCACGGACATGGCGAGAGGAAGGTCTCCCAGTCCACGCCGGGGAAACTAAAAGCAGCGACCTTAGGGGGGAAGGTTGCGAATTGCCGAAGATTTGAAAATCCCCCATTGCCGCCGCATGAAGTGCCAAACATTTCGAATGAACCGACGAAAGACGAGATTGTCACCGCCGACATTACACTTTCAATTGACGGTCACGACGTGACCGCACTGGTCGACACTGGTGCGGACTTTTCAATAATGAGTGCGAATCTGGCCGACCAACTCAAGAAGGTAAAAATGGAATGGACGGGGCCGCAAATTCGAGGAGCCGGAGGCCAGCTGCTGACACCGACCGGAAAGTGCACCGCACGAATCAAGATCGGGGATTCATCATTCGTGGCAACCTTCATTATTCTTTCTGAGTGTTGTAAACAGGCCATCTTGGGTATGGATTTCCTGCAGGAGTACGGTGCCATTATAAATATACCGGACGGTGTACTGACCTTCTCAGCGGACCATAGCGCAGCGCTGCAGCGCAAGCCCATGCGCGTGATTGACGACGTGACCATGCCACCGTTGTCATGCCGCCTCGTCTCTGTCACGTGTAACACGCAGCATAGTGGAGAAGGTGTCGCGGAACAAATATCGACGCTTTTACTCTCTCGAGGAATCGCTATTGCCAGAAGTCTCGTCAGTGTAGTGTCTGGGCAAGCAGAGGTCCTGTTGACAAACTTCAGCAACGAGCGTCGACACATTGCAGAGGGTACCACAGTTGCATACTTCGAAGAAATTGTAGAATTCCGCGAGTGCTTCGCAGTACAACACGGCAGAGACGCCGGCCGCTTCAACACCACTGCCTGTCGACGTGAGCACAGATTTATCGCCAGCGCAGAGGCAGAGTCTTCTAGATATTCTCGGCCAGTTTGAAGATTGTTTTTCGTCGACCTCGAGAGTAAATCAAACGCCACTGACAAAGCACCGAATTATAACGGAAGAGACGGCAAGACCAATTCGACAAAACCCATACCGCGTGGCACCGAAAGAACGCGAAGCAATCCAAGAACAAGTCCAGAAAATGCTCAATGATGACATCATTCAGCCGTCAAAAAGCCCTTGGGCATCACCGGTAGTGCTAGTTAAGAAGAAAGACGGCAGCTTACGCTTCTGTGTGGACTACTGCAAGCTGAACCGCGTGACCAAGAAAGACGTATACCCACTACCGCGTATTGACGATTCACTTGACAGGCTGAGGCATGCACGCTTCTTCTCGTCGATGGACCTGAAAAGCGGTTATTGGCAAATCGAGGTCGATGAGCGGGACAGAGAAAAGACTGCTTTTGTTACGCCTGACGGGCTTTACGAGTTTAAAGTCTTGCCCTTCGGATTGTGCTCAGCCCCAGCAACATTTCAGAGACTGATGGATACCGTCCTATCAGGCCTTAAGTGGCAGACGTGTCTGGTATACCTCGACGACGTCATTGTTTTCTCACCAACATTCGAGGAACATCTAAGACGGCTGCTATTAGTATTTCGAGCAATACGGTCCGCTGGCTTATCGCTGAAACCTGAGAAATGTCATTTCGGTTTCAAGGAACTCCGATTCTTAGGACATGTGGTGAGCCATGAAGGTGTTCGTCCGGACCCCGACAAGATCGACGCCGTCCGAAAATTTCCGGTGCCAACAGAAAAGAAGGCCGTAAGACGTTTTCTTGGCCTTTGCGCCTACTACCGCAGATTTATCGCTAATTTCTCGCACATAGCGTCGCCCTTAACACGCATAACGAGAGACGATGTTCCATTTTTATGGGGCGAAGAGGAACAAGCAGCATTTGACGGTCTACGACAGCGCCTGCAGACACCCCCTGTGCTTGCTCACTTTGACGAGGACGCTCCAACCATGATCCACACTGATGCCAGCAACGTAGGTTTAGGCGCTGTACTCGTCCAGTGGCAAGACTCAGCCGAGAGAGTGATTGCATATGCAAGTAGGACGCTTTCCCGTGCCGAGTCCCATTATTCCACAACGGAAAAGGAATGTCTTGCTGTAGTATGGGCAGTTCTGAAGTTTCGCCCATACCTCTACGGCCGTCCCTTCCACGTAGTCAGCGACCACCACTCTCTTTGCTGGCTGACCAACTTGAAGGACCCATCCGGTCGGCTAGCGCGCTGGAGCTTACGCCTACAAGAATTCGATATGACGGTCGTCTATATGTCGGGACGACAGCACTCTGATGCTGATTGCTTATCCAGGTCGCCTATAAAGCAAGATGATGTCTCAGAAGATGATGACATGGCATTTTTAGGAGTGGTCGACACGGTCACCATTTCGTCTAAGCAGAAAGAAGACAGTGAGTTGCTCCCTCTTATTAATTTTCTTAACGGCCAGTCTACAAGCGTTCCCAAGATATTTGCAAGGAGCCTGCCATCATTCTGCTTGCGCAGTGGTGTCCTATACAAGAAGAACTTTGCCCCCAGCGGAAATGCCCACTTACTTGTCGTCCCGACATCCATTCGCGATGAGATCCTGAGCGCTTGCCACGATGAGCCAACCTCCGGCCACCTCGGATACACGCGCACATTGGCCAGAATCCAACAGAAGTACTACTGGCCGAAGCTTCCAGGCACTGTAAAGCATTACGTCCGCACGTGTCTCGATTGTCAACGACGAAAATTGCCACCTTTAAAACCAGCCGGATTGTTGCAACCCGTTCAAGTGCCCACCATGCCTTTTGCACAAATCGGAATGGATCTCCTTGGACCATTTCCGACTTCGCATACTGGAAATAAGTGGGTAATTGTCGCTACGGACTATCTTACTCGCTACGCAGAAACAAAGGCTTTATCAAGTGGAACCGCAGTAGAAGCGGCACGATTTTTCATTGAAAATATCGTTCTGAGGCATGGTGCTCCTAGAATTATAATAACAGACAGAGGTACCGCTTTCACGGCCATGCTCCTCAAGTCAGTGCTTGAGTTGAGTGGAACAGCGCATCGAAAAACTACCTCCTACCACCCACAAACCAACGGCTTAACAGAACGCCTCAACAAGACAATTGCTGATATGCTTAGTATGTACATCGACGTGGACCATAAAAATTGGGACGACGTTCTACCATACGTGACGTTTGCTTATAATACGGCGCAGCAAGAAACAACGCGGAGCACGCCATTTAGTCTTCTTTATGGCCGTGGAGTGACGACAATGCTTGATGCCATGCTGCTGCACGACTGCGAGGATACAGACACGGATGTTCAAGCCTTTACCCAACGAGCTGAAGAGGCACGGCAGCTAGCACGCGTGCGAATCGCCCGACAGCAGAGTTATGACGCACAACGTTATAACCTGCGACACCGATACGTCACTTATCAACCAGGCGAGAAAGTGTGGGTCTGGAGCCCTATTCGCCGACGCGGCCTTTGTGAAAAGTTATTGAAGAAGTACTTTGGTCCCTACAATGTTATACGGCGCCTAAGTGACGTGAATTATGAGGTCATCCCTGACAGTTCCTCGCGAGCTCAAAAATCTGAAATCGTACACGTTGTGCGCATGAAGCCATATTACAGTGAGCCAGTTGCGTAATACGTCAACTACATACACCGCGTATCTGTAGCCGAGCATCGGGTCGATGCTCTTCCTGGAGGGAGGCAAATGCCGCATTCAACCTGCAGAGGAGAGCTCGCACAGCCAGAGAAGAAGACGAAGCTCTTGCCCGGTCCTCTCTTTACGAGCGCCTTTCATTTTTAATTAAAGTGAGCTCTTCTATATCAAACTCCTGCTGTGTCTGCGTCGTGACAATATATATAAACTAAACAACTGAAATTTTAATGGTATGAAGGCTAGAGATAGAGAGTATGGATAAATGAAGTTAGTATTTTACAAGGGTTATTGCACAGCGACTGTGTTCATTTTTTAATACTATGCCAAATGATCGATTCTAGTGTCAACATAAATGCAGCTTTATGAGAAAATCACAAGACACAGCCACAAAAAAAAAAAAGAAGAATGATATATCATTGCCCAATACGAGTTCGCGCACCACTGACTTTAGTCAGGACAGGGCTACAAACTCAATGTCGGTTGTGATGTAGGCTTTTTATGCTTTTGTTATAATTGATCGGCAAACAATGCTACAGAACTTGCATTGCAGAACAGCATACAAACTGGTCCCTTTTACATGCTTGTCAGTGCTTCTGTTTAGCCAGTTCTAGACTTACACATATTTGTACGGTCGTATATCTAAAGACAGGGCATTTCATTGCATGGGTTTGACCAAATCTGCCAAAAAAAAAAAAAAAATGCAACTGCTGCTTTTCAGCAATTTTTATTTTCTGTGCTTCTTGACAACATTGCTTGCATAAATGAGCAAATGAAACTTTATTTTGATCACCCCAGCAAGCTAAAATATAGAATTCAACAAGGTTGAGTTATATCTTAACGGTATTACATGCTGTGCTCGATATACAGAATTTTTACAGTACAATTATGAGCACTTATATAACTCCAAGCTTGCTGCAAGCTCAGAATTAATTTTTAGCTTCTTTTCCTATGCTGGTTATTCAGCAGTACTTGTAGTTAATCTTCAACATTATATTATGCGATTGCTTGTACGTGAGTTGTCGGGGGCCGGCTCTGGCACACAACAATTTCGAAGAATATGAGTAACTGTTTATGGCTATCCTACAGGCAGCAGAAAATGGGCACGAGGAAGTCTGCAAAATGCTCCTGCAAAAGTCCCCAAGCCTGCTTGAGGTGAAGGACAGTCGAGGGAGAACGGCATTGGAATGTGCACTTCCAAAGCATTCACAACTTTCCGAGGTGCTTCGGTGACTGCATCAAACGTGGACAATGATGGCAGAACAAAACACTTCGGCTGACTCGAACTTACTATGTGTCGGTCCACCTGTGCATGCCATGGTACATGATGCTTACTGCAGGAAAACCTGTCACACCTATTTGTGTTCAAGTCTGATATGTACCCCTCCCTCGAAGTTTAGCGTTATTCACTTGCAAACACTTATTCAACTGTGTATGTACAGTTGCCGGGCTGTAAGTTGACAAAGCAGAACTAATGCGATTAAAGGAAACCGACCGATTCTTTGGTGCATTTGATGCAAGCGTTATTCACTTGCAAACACTTATTCAACTGCGTCTGTACAGTTACTGGGCAGTAGGTTGACAAAGCAGAACCAATGCGATCAAAGGAAACTGACCGATTCTTTCGTGCATTTGATGCATGCATTAAAGTGTGGCATGACATAATAAGCTCCATATCCCATGTCTCACGACCAATTCCAAGTGTTTATAAACTTTCTTAGCAGTATGCAAAAAGAAACACCCAACGTATTCAGGCATTAATGTCACCGAATGCGAGTTTAAAATTCTTGCTAGATTGAAATCGTTGAGCAGTCTTTGAGTTGAAGAGTGTGCCTGATTCTGCCCCCTAGGTTCAAAGAAAAATTGAAAAGTACTAAACAAGTACCGACTGTCAATGTTCAGTGCAAATCATATGTTCCCCTTCTTACTGATGCCTTGTGCGCATGTGCCAAATAAAAATTCTGATCACAGTCACTTATTTATGGCATCAAACAAAGTAATGACAACAATGATCTGTTATTCTTGCTTTTATTGTCTGGAATGTACGTTCAGTCATTTACAGAAGTTTGTGATTACTTTACGTTACCACACCCTCCACGCTGGAATGTGCTGCTGAGACGTTTCGTCGCAGTATATTTTGTACAGTGGGAATATTGGCTGCCGCAAGTGGAGAGCACCCAGGCTCTCTGCTGCCTATTATGTTCACAACTCAGAGAAGTACATGTCAAAAATGAAATAAAAAAATAAGAAAAGAGCAGCTTGGCTGCGAATTTTCGATTTTTCACACTGTCAAGAGAATAGTCGCAACTTGCCTGCAACAAATTCTAACACCGCCAACAATTACAAAAATGTAATGAGTGGAGTTGGGTCTTATTACATCAGAGATAAATAAAATGTCATCACATTTTCATCAAAAAAACATATTGGCAGGCTGTCAGGTCAAGAATGATTGCCTTTCCAAGGCTTCAAAGTAAAGTGAATGAGGAGGAAGAGAAGAAACAGAAGAACCCTGCATACTGTAAGGTGTGTGTAAGTGGTGAAAATGGAAGTTCATCTTCACATGTGCCGCTGCCTTGCATAGACTTTCACTAACAGTACTGGACCGGCAGGGGGAAAGGAGAAAGGCTGTGCACTTCCCACTCAGTCTTTTTCATATATTGACAAGTAAACACTTACATACTCGCATAGCTAGTTTAAAAGTGACAAACTGAGCCATGCTCAGCACGCCCGCCTGGACAGACATCGCACTTGGCAGCCACTGAGAGCGAATTGCTGTTTCGACGGAGAGAACAGCAGGCGCAAGGCAATAAAAGATTCGCAAACTGCTGCCAAGTTTTGCATGAGTGAAAACCCTGACCCTCTGTTAAACTGTAGTGCATGCTAGCATTTCCATGCCCACGCATATAAAAAATGCACAACGATATTCCCGTGGCAGCTTATGAGCAGCTTGGTGACATAAGCTGCTTTTACACTAAATGGCGACGTGCCAGCTTGCATTTCACTGCTTCACTCGCAGAGTCCTTTGTTTGTTCATGTTTGTTAGCAGCAGGCTGATGTATGAAGTCAGCAAATCATCCATTTTGTAGCCCTGCAAAAAGAAAAGTAAACAAAACAGATTACGGTAAATTAGCATATGATATGAACCAGAAACATATTCAAGTAAAGAAATGAAATGAGCAGAAAATCGTAAAGCTTAGACATTTTCAAACAAAAATCAAGAAAACAATTTTACTGAAATAAAAGGCTACTCTCCAGCTAGGATTTGTTATAAAGAAAAACTAACCCGAAATTTCAAAGCCAATTCAGTTTCTCTTTCAGTGGCGACTGTGACAAAAGACAGCGTAATTAAGCTGAAGAGTGGCCCCTGAACAAGCCTCTAAATGTTGAGTTTGGTTTTCTTTAAAATAAATCTTATCTGGAGAGATATCCTATGATATGAAAAATCCTGATAACGTAAATTGTGCCAACATGTATAATCAGTCAAACTGTCTTTTATTGTTGATGGAAATGAAAAAAATTACTATTACTATTAACAAAAGGCAGAAGGCACTGCACAATATAACTTGAACAAGTAGACAGTCGAGGCACAGATTTCCACTTCTTTTGCAGGACTTCAGTTATACACACATGCACAAAGCAAGTGAAGGCCTTCGGGATAATTCTATCCTTTAGTAACCACGTGCTCTTTAAAAAGGTCTGGACACCAATTTTCGGAGGCAAGTTTACTCTGCCATACAAATCTCCTGTATACAGAGATGAGCAAGTGTGACGTTCAGGAAACGCTGACAAGATATTTTATTTTGATATCAAAGTCAATTTTTTTTGTAGCACACCTACCGACACCGACATTAAATTGACGCCAGGCTACAGTTCTAATCCTGGTGACTTTACGGAGCACTCTGGCTAGTTGTGATGACGTCGAGCACCGAAACACAAAAAATGGCAGCTTGTGCGTCACCTTCTAGATCGTCTGCTTGTGCCGTGCGGTCATGCCATCATTGTCATCCAGCGTACCTGTGAAGTAAGCTAGCGGAGTCTGAAATAGTGTACATGCACGCAAATACTACAAGATATACGCTTATCAGAGGGTGAAGGAACCGTTTGAGTTTCAACTGGTCAGCATGGCGCCAATATTTTGCCCTGTGAAGCCTTGCGCCAGTGAAACAAGGGACAATAGGTGCAAGTTCCACCAATTCCAGTCCGATCCGGCACTTAGACAAATGTGTGTCGACTTTGTAGGCTGCGGCTGAGGTGGAGACTGGGCGCAAACCAAGCGGAGTTTACTCTGTTCGCTGCACTTCACTCCGGACACATACAAACACAAAATGCAGTTGCCAACAGACTTTGGATTGTCGACGAAGAACTTGAATCTTAGAAGTGATGCCATGCCAACGTTGTGCTCCCTTGCCGCGAGAATTGCCACACGGCGCGCAGCAGACGAAGCAGACGATCGAAGAAAGCGACACACGGACGAGGATACACCTCGAAAACTTGCGCGTGCACATATCATGTAGCATAGGCGGAGAGTACAGGGTGGCTGGGGGGCTTGGCCCCTTCTGGGTTGTCTCATAAGGGGCAGAGCCTCCCCCCCCTCCATGATGTGGGCATAGGATATTTTTTTTTACAACTTACCTTAGGCTTTCATTCACCGCCAACAAGAGTGTTGGTCATCTTGTCTTGCAGATATTTCACAGACGATTGTTTATGCCTGTTCCCTTTTCTTTCATGCTTTTAAAATTCAGACCACTGGGTAGAGACAAATAGGGAATCTGGTGCCGTGGTCGCATTTGTTTGTTATGTGTAATACTTTTGAAGTCTTTTCTCTCTCTCACTATATAATATATATCTATATATATATATTAGGCATCAAAACGGCGTCATTCAAAGGTCGTAGGGTTGATTACTGCTCACGGCAGGTTATCTTTTCACCCACTTTTCTTTCTTCTTATTTACATTACATTGGTTCTAATAACTTCCCCTATACGTTCCTTGGCATTATTGTCTGTTAAATCTCATTAACATTGTGTCAAAACACGGAAAAACTAGCCCTTAGGTATACACTTCTTTCCCTTATTCATTAACGAGGGTCTCGTTCTGGCAGACTTGGTGCCAATGGGTTGCATACGAGGGACCATTGGTCAGCTGCCCGTTCGTAATAAGTTCACGTGCTACGTGATGCCACACAGGCTCATAAAAGGATGTTCCACACTCGCCGCCATGGCTACAGATGGCGCTGACTGACACTCCCACGTTTAAATTCACATATAAACCCAATAAAGTGGCTGGGGGAATGGCCGCCATGATAGCTCATGAGAGTATCGAACGGGTAATTTGAAGGTCGTAGGTTCGACTCCTGCTCACGGCAAGTTATCTTTTCACCCACTTTTCTTTCTTCTTATTTACATTACATTGGTTCTAATAACTTCTCCTATACATTCCTTGGCATTATTGTCTGTTAGATCATGCTGCAACGGAGCGTGATTAGCGAATCGAACAGTTTTTGGGCTTTTCCTGTCGTGCTGGTTGCGAAAAAAAGATGGTTCGATAAGACTTCGCATTAAGTACCGCCGGCTAAATAAGATCATGCGAAATGATGTTTATCCCCTACCCCACATCGATGACGCCCTGAATTGCCTTCAAGGAGCCGAATATTTCTCTTCCCTCGATCTGCGCTCAGGCTACTGGCAAGTGCCCATGGCTGCCGAAGACAGCTTTTGACACCCCTGACGTTTTATACGAGTTTAACGCAATGCCTTTCGGCCTTTGCAACGCGCTTGCAACCATCGAGAGAATGATGGATACCATTCTCAGGGGCCTCAAATGGCAGACCTGTCTATGCTACTTAGATGACATAGTGGTCTTTTCTGCAGATTTTTCATCTCATACCGCTCGCCTTGAGAAAGTTCTCATGTGCCTCACTACCACCGGCTTGCAGTTAAACTTGAAGAAATGTCTTTTTGGCATATATATAAATATATATATATATGTGACGCTATGATGAATCGGCGACGTGGCCTGGCTCATACTCGATGTTTATTCCATTCTCCTTCTTTTTCATCTACTTCTCCTAACCATCCCTGCCTTCTTACGTCACAGGATTCCCCCTCCCCCGAAAAATGGTACCGGTTACAAACTACAACAAATTGAAGAAGAGAATAAACAACATAATGGCCAAATTCAGTTTCACGTCCCGACGGAGTTCCACAATCTCACTAAATCTTCAAGGCCGAGGGGGCAGTCCGGTGATTTTTTATGACGACTCTGGTGGACGAGCTTGACTGTTGCGTTCTGGATAGCGTGCGCCACACATGGATACTGGCAATACTGCTTGAACTGTACTGGGGACTAAGCAAGGTTGGAACGCATTGTTGCATCGGCGGCTCGTACTTCATGGGTGTTGTATTTTTCGTCGTGAATGGTGCGATTCCGGTACTTCTTGCTTTTGTGCTTTTTGACAGACTGTGACGAAGTGCCTGAGTGCTTGCGGTGTGCAAGCAGTGCTTCCGCGTCTTTCTCGGCGTCTTCTGTGGTGGTCCAGTCGGTGTAATAGCAAGTGCAGGGAGTGTCTCTGGTGACTTTTTTTTTGTGCGAAAGTGCCTGACGTCTTTAATTAGAGATCTTATTTTCCGATGTTCTTCTAATGGAGAGTGCACTTCCGTCGAACTTTGCGTTCGTCGATGCCCTCGTTGCAGTCTCTCTCGTTGTAGCATGAGTTTGTGAACTTGGCTTTGCTTGCTTTGCTGAGGCTGCTTGGGAGATGGCTGTAGTGGCGCCCTTTCCGGAATGGGGCATTCATTTCCTTCGGTGTTTGACGCGTCCTGTAGACAGCTGATGAATGGTGAACTGGTGTCTTGCTTGTCTGGCATAGTTGGTAATGCGTCATCATTGCTAGCATGCTCTTCAGAGGCTTCGGTGACGGGGTTCATTACGGGCGCTTCCGAAAGACAACTATGTGCGAGGTTTGATGTATCATGTACTTCTGAATTAGTTTGATTCATGAATTGGTGAGCTCTGCATGTGGGCGCCACAGGTGACATGGCATTACTAGGTTTGAACTGCAGATTTTGGCAAGTCTGCGGTGCCGTAGAAATGACACGAAGCTCTTCAGGGGCTTCTTTTACGCTGTTCGCTGCGAGTACTTGCGCATGGTAGCGTGCGACGTTCGATGCGTCTGAGCCTTCTGTTTTGTTTCGACTCTCGAGAGTGTGTGCACCGGACGGTGATGCATGAAACCGTACGAAAGAAGAATGGCTTGACAGGGTATTTTTCCGATGTGCCAGGTCATCTACCATGAATACGGCGTCCTTACAAGGCAAATGGTGAGGGCTAGGAGCGCTTGAAGAACCGCGTGACGAAAACCCAGGAGGTGGACCACGTATTCGAGACGAAGAGTGAAGGGCATCAGGTGGTTGAGCAACGTCTCGTGTCATATGCTGAAGCGATGACTTCGAAAATGCCAACTTTCGCGCAAAAGGGCGGCGCGCTTGACGGTTGGGTTTTTCCCAATATACGCATGGCCTTCTGTAAGTAAACTGCTGTGCCCCTTCGTATTGAGGCAGTTGTCGATTCGCGCTGGGCTTTCGAATGGTTGAGGACTGCTTAGGAAATTGACGATAGTGTGCGGTTGTCTCTAGATGGTTGACAATGAGTAGGTCTTGGTCATAGTCGTTAAAACGGGTAATCATCTCCTCTTTGATTTTTTGCCATGACTCGTCATTCTCGAATATATGGGTGAGGTAAAATTTAAATGCCTCACCGGTGACGTAGTCGCTGAAGTTCGTAACCATCTCCCGTTCCGACCAAGATGCAGCAGCAGCATGAAGCTCGAACAGGTTGAACCAGTCCCGTACGGGTCCGTCGTCCGCTGATCCGGTGTACTTAGGGATGTCAAGGTCGTCTGATGCTACTGTCATGATGCTTGGTGGTCCGCGTTCTTCTGTGGTCCGCGTTCGGTCACTGCGTCTCGCTGAGGTCTTCGATGATGATGGCCGGGCGATGAAGTGGTTGCGAGGTCTTCATCCTGTCGACTCGTGTGACGCTATGATGAATCGGAGACGTGGCCTGGCTCATACTCCATGTTTACTCCAT